CAGGAAACGCTCCACCCAACGCTTTTGTTTAGGTATGGCTGTAAGAAAACCGATAATAGAACTGCTTTTCTTCAGACATATCCATAAGTTTTGAAGCAACGGCTAAATATGAAGGGAGCTTTTCAAATAAAGTATTCTTGAGAAAACGGCCATTAAAGGAGAAATCACAATGAAAGTATCACTTGTAATACAAAATTTGCAAACTCAAAAAACTGACGCGCAGTTGCAAAAAATCGATAGTCAACTAGTCCTATCGATAGTTTAAGCATTTTTGGGAAAACGTATCACTACCACGGTTGCCGTTTTGGTCCAAATGGACCAAATTTGGTTTTGTTTTTATGTTATGTAGGTAACTGTAGGTTCTTTCCCTAACAATTCGTACCGGATCCGGCTCTCAAAAATGGAACATAATCCAGATGCAGAGTTACCAGAGATAAATTTCGTTTGGAGCTAAAACGGTCGAAAAAAAGAGCTAAATAATACTAATACTAGCTAAAATGAAGAGCTACATATTTTTGTTATGGTTGAGCATTTATTGACGTAAGGTTGTTTTTACATTTTCGGCAATTTTAATAAAAACAACGGATCTTATAAGTTTAAGTGCTGAAAAAATCCTTCAAAACCAAAATAAGGTGCAAGGTTCGTTGCTATGGCACTTATAACAGTGAACTAAAAATAATTTACAAACTGTTAAAGTCTGTAATTTCAGATAATTGAATTTAATAATTTTTTCGTAAAATTTATCCGGAAAGTTCTACTTCCAGCTCTCCTCAAAGGTAAAATTAGTAAGGTAAAACAAAATTCGCGCTATCAGAAAAAGGATTTTCTTTTAATTAATTTTTGAATTCTTTAACCTAAATCCAAGAGTTTATGGTGGATACACTGCATCTAGAAATTTTTGATTTTATGAACGCTTAAGTTTTGGCTTATATATACCAAATATAACTAAAACTTTCTGCAGCTAAAAAGTGCTAGATAAATGTGAAAATATCTAAAAAAGAGCTAGGAGCTAAAACCCAATTTTCGGAACTAAATAGAAAAATAAAGAGCTAATTCTAGCTCCAAAAGTACCAAAATGGCAACACTCCCCAGAAGTACGGGAACGCAAAAAACCAAATTTCATGCCCAGAATTTGAGTAACAATGATTTTGAGAATATAAAGATTGAAAATACATTCACCATTCCTTAAAAGCACCAAGTAAATGCAGGCAACGTGTAAACACAAAAGAGCTGATATGCACTTTGACGCTTCATCCATTTTTACCCGGCGAAAAAGTCCGGGCTGTTTCGGGCAGGAAGAAGAAGACACTTACGATGCAATACGCTCCAATTTTGGCTTTCTATTACCCATTTTGTTGAGTACAGGAATGATTTCTGGGCTATTTTGGGCACCCGCGGATCCCGCGTTGCGTACGGGAAAGAACCTTGTGTATAACGTTCTAACAGTGCCATTTTCATTATTAATCTACTGGGCCTCAATCTCAACAGCAGCAAGGTAATTTGGGACCTATGAGGGTCCAGAGCATGTGTAGTGTTGAAGAAAGATATTGACTATTTCCAAATTTCAGAGTTCATAACACAGGAACTGGTAGCAATTCAGACGACGCTGTCAATAAACTGCACGGATCTCGCCTTTGCTGCGGCCTATTTTTCTGGGCATAATGCCAACGCGACACCCATTGAGGTGCAGTGGCTGATGGAGTTCTGTCGCAAGAGACGACTTCCAGTGGGCAGGGTGAGTGCCTTTTAGAATACATACATTATTAACAAAGACTTTTTATCCTTTGTATAGACAAAACTTTGTTACTATATGAGGTCAGGAGACGTTAGAGGAACCCAGAAAACTGACTGGGATAATTACGATAAACTACTCAGGGCGAAACTGCCTAGTTTATTAGTTTCAAAAACCTTTTGTGAGTGTATCTCTTCAACTCCTGTAGCTGCTAGGCTTCATAAAGCGTTGGCGAAGGACAACACTGGAACCTGGATAAGGCTACTTAATGGTACTTTCTAAGGTAATCATACGGAAAGGCCACTCGCCCTGTTCTCGGTCCACTTTCTGGATGCCATTCCGTCTTCGAGTGTTACGGTGTTCCGTGTATCCCCGCTGTCTCATTGCACAGGAAGCTGGCCTAGTAACTGGCGATTTGTACATTAGGCGCTGGACTCTTTCGAACGGTACATGGCCCCCAGGGTGGATGGCATCAGTCCAGTCGTGCTAAAGCAGGGCAGAGAGCTACTCCACTACTCCACACCTTGCCAATATCATGAGGAACAGTTTTGAACATGGCAGCATTCCCGAGTTATGGCAGAGTTCCCGGGTTATTTTTATGCCGAAAGTAGGTAATTGTGGACAAAAAATCAGTTCTAACACTTAGCAACACGCACTTGTGTATTCTGTGAATTTCGTTAAATAAGTTGGCCAATTGTTTAACCGATAAATCAATTCGTGTGTAGTAGTGATGCCCAGAACCAAAGAACCGTAACCGGAGTATCGGGTCCTTTACTGACAGATCCGGGCCTTACAAGAACCGAAAAATGGCTTTGAAAGAAGCTTGGATTTCGAAATTACAACGAATGTAGAATACATGAGATAAAGAATGCTCCGTTGGAGAGGAGTCAAGTTACGGAGCCGAAGACCACCCTCTTACTCCATTCATTATCGAAGGTGAGGCAAGAGATTCGTTTTCTAATTATTAAAGAATATTTAACCGAGCCCAATTTTGAAATGACTTCTACATCTTCTATGTTGTGTAAAAATTTTATATGTAGCTGTACCGATTACCAGTAGCTCATTTGAGCTAAATATTTAATTTTATGTAAATTTGAAAAATTTGTTTACTTAAAAAGTTTTC